TCCTGCTTTCTACAATGTTTCATTTCCTATAAGTGCTCTCTACTCCTCTCTGTTTATTTTTACTTTGCATCTTTGATGTGAGAAGATCAAGTTGATGTTTCACTAGCTTCAAAATCTGAAGTAAAGGGGCATATCCAGCAATTGTTTCTGAGCCATGCACTTGCATATATGGGACAGTATGGCCAATTCATGGAAAGTTGCAAGAATCAAAAACACACTCAAATAATAGACAATTAGGTGTCTATAATAGAAAGAGGTATTCAATAATAGATTCTTGGAATAAAACTCTATACAGAACATATCAGGAAATGTGGACAACACTGGGGAACACATTTGGTTGGTCCAATTAGACCGAGAGACCCAGAAAGAATGGAAAAAAAAAAAAAGCATGGAAAGTTTTTTTCTGTTTACTCAAATTTGAGAGGAAAGGTCTCTGATGAAGTATCACAATTTATTTATCTCCATCTGCAACAAGGGTTAAAATCAAACATATAAAATCAATTTTTTCTAGAGTTATGTGGTTTTACATGTTTCAGGACTATTGTGAAGAAGAGCAAGAACATCCAAAGAAACACAAATGGAAGTGAGAGATAGGAAGACTTCAGAGTAAATTTGCTGATAAAACAATGTCTTTGTCCACTGAAGTGAAATCAGGAAGGACAATAAGTATGAAGAGAGTATTTGAGAACAAATTGATAACCAATTGAAGGTCTGAAAGCCACCAAAATGACATTCTAAGAGAAACAGTAGAATTTTCTTCACAAGAGAGTTTTTGGAAGAGTATTATCACCTTCCAATTAGGGTTTCATGACTTTTCTCCTCAAAGGCACATGTACTTGAAACTCCTCCTAGCCCCATAGGAAAAGCTACAGTCCTGCTGCGACTGCATGTGTTAGAATTACTTCTCCTAGATAGGAGATGCTAAAGGGTACTTAAATAAAATATTAAAAATTGTGAAGGACATAATGAAGGCCACTCAGTCCTTTCTTATCCCCAGACCCCATCATATGAGAACAAGAGTTATTTGATGAATTAAAGAGTTGCAAATTAAGTGCTAATAAAATGAAATAGTCACTTATATAATTCATCACCTTGGGCAGTCACAGAGGCAAATTCTGTGGCCGGATTAAATATGGGGCTGGATAATTTTATGACTGCTAATGATGTTTTTAGCAGGGGGCTGATATTCTGAAAGAAGTAATCCTATTACTTCTTCCAGTTAGATGGTTTGCAGAGACCTCTAGCAAGTGGTGTCTGATTAATATCAGAATGAGCCTTGAGAGTTCTCACCTTTGGTGGGAACGGTACTAAAAATTTTTTTTTAAGGAGAACATCCTCAGGTATACCCCTTTAGCTTCAGTCCCAACTTTTCTTAGGAAAGCCGAAATCCTTTTTAATCAAAAGTAATTGAGGTACAAGGCCTCCCCGGTGGCGCAGCGGTTGAGCGCTGGGTTCGATCCCCGGCTGCTCCCCGGCCACCGGAGGAGGGTCCCACATGGCGCACAGACCTCTCCTGCCGCCCGCTGCTTCCCTCAGCAGTGTACTTGGGTCCTTCTGCCTGCTCTGCTCCCCGCTCTGGCTCTGGTGAATTCTCTCACCCTCCCACGTCTTCTGACTGTACCCAGTACATGTATAAACAAATAAACAAAAAACAAACAAACAAATAAATAAATAAAAATACATGCATCTTTAAAAAAAAAAGTAATTGAGGTACAATGTTTCAGTTATGCAAGATGACTAAGTTCTGGAGCTCTGTGTGATTATAGTACTGACACTTTATTGTGCCCTTGAAATTGCTAAGAAAGTAGCTTTTAAATGTTTACAACACACACATACACACAGACACACAGAAAATAGTAAATGTGTGAGTCTGATATGCTAATTAGCTTGATTGTGGTGAATATTTCACATTATATCTGTATCAAAACATTATGTTGTATAACTTAAATTCAATAAATTTTTATTTGTCAGACCTCAAAAAAGCTGGAAAAAAAGGGTAGACATTAAAATTTTTTTTTCCCTAAGAAGCAATTGGGGAAGACATTATCCAAAGTTAGATCATTTCTGCTTTGTGGGACCTTTTTGCCTTGTTTGTTAAATGCCAACCATGTGTTAGGCACTTTGCTTGAATTTTTCCAAAACTGGTGGGAATATAAACATTTAGACACATTAATGTTATTCAGAATGAAGAGGTCTGTGCTGAAAGTAGGTTGAAAAGTAGCACGTTTTAGAGAAGGTTAACAGAGAAGGTAGTGTTTGAACTGAGACTTATTTAACTGAGATAATAATTGACACACAACGTTGTATTAGCTTCAAATAGACAACATAATGGTTTGATAAATGTATATATTGCAAAATGCTCATCCCAATAAGTCTAGTTAATATTTACTACCACATAGTTAAAATTCTTTGATTAGAACTTTTAAGATCCTCTCTCAGCAAATTTCAAATAAACAGCACAGTATTAACTAGAGTCACTGTGATGTACATGAGCTTCCTGGGAGTTACTTATAACAGTGTTTGTATCTCTTCACCTTCACCCATTGCACCTTCTACCAAGCCCACACATGGTTAACATTAATCTGGTGTCTATATTTTAATGAGTTCAGTTTTTTTTAAATTTAAGATTCTACAAATGAGTGAGTTCATACAGTATTTGCCTTTCTATGTCTGACTCATTTCACTTAGCATGGTGTGCTCAAAGTCAATCCATGTTGTAAGTGGCAAGACTTTCTTTTTTTATGACTACATACTATTCCCCTGTGTATGTATGTTTGTATCACATTTTCATTATCCATTCATCTGTCAATGGAAGCTTGGATTGTTTTCATATCTTGGCTATTGTAAATGTTGCTGCAGATATCTTTTTGAAATGGTGATTTTTGTTTTCTTCCAATAAATACACAAAAGTAGAATTGCTGGATCATATGTAGTCATATTTTTAATTTTTTGAACTTTCACATTGTTTTTCATAGTGTCTGTACCAATTGATGCCAATTGACATTCCCACAAACAGTGTGGACAGATTTCCTCTTCTTGTCCTCACCAGCATTTGTTATCTGTTATGTTTTTGATAATTTGCATTTCCCTGATTATTAGTGATGTTGAGCACCTTTTCCTGTACCTGTTGCCTCTCCAGCTTTGGAAAAATGCCTATTCCTTAAACCTCAGTTGAGAAAGAGTTCACTATATAGGCAAGCTAGTATACAGGCAAGCAAGTACAGGGCATTCCAGGCAGAAGGAACAGCAGGCATTCACAGGTCCAGAGACAGAACATGATGTAATATGTTAGTGAATACCCAGTAGGCTCAAAAACCTGTGCTACAGGATTTGAAGGCAGAGAGGGAAAGATGGTCTTGAGAAGCAGATTCTGGTTGGGGGGGGGCAGATGGCTGAAGGGTCTAGGTTTGCCTCCGTCCCCTCTCCAACAGAATGTTCCCAGGGGTGTGAATGGTGGTATGGGTGAGGGGATGAGGTGGGGGGAGTTTCCAGGAAGTATCCTAGGATGTAGGGACTGCCCCTCAAAGCCTTGGTGAATCCTAGGCATCCCTCCTTTGGCCACTGTCAGCAGTTGCTTGGTGGGAAGTCTTGCATTTCACACAACTCCTTGCTTCCCTCATTCTCACTGTCCTCTTGAAACAATCTTTACCACAAACATAATCACCATTCTTAGGAGTTAAAACAATTTTACAGCCTCCTCTACCTTGGGCAGAGAGGGGTTCTTATAGATAGTCTTACATCAGGATGAGTCTCATGTGACTGTCTGGTTTTATTTCCTTGGGATTACCTTTGATCAAATCAGTTTTTGGATGGAAAATAGAGGCAGATGTCATTTACCTAACCTCAGACGCCCATTTTCTGTGTGAAGTTGCATCAGCAGACAAACAAGAACGCGTGCAGTGTCTTTGAGGAACAGATGGATTTGAAATGTTAAAAATCTGTTTTGTTAAATGATCTTGGCTAACAAAATAATTTAATTAGGGGAGAAATGCACTAAACTGCTCCTTCTTTGCTGATATTTAGATAAAAATATCATTAATCTCTCACACACTAACTTGGAATTTCTCTACCATTAATATTGATAAGAAGAATAAAATAGAAATGAGAAAAGAGGAAGCAGTTGAGAGAGAGGAGGAGGAAAAGAGAACATCGTTTGTAAGAATTAGTTTTCTCGATGTTCTTATCTTTGTGGCAGATGCATATACTGTATTTTCATTATTATTTGTATTATTACATAGATAAGTATGTAATCAGCAGTTTTCCCCATCATATCATAAAGAAATTTATAATTGTGACATATCTCCTAATAAATAACCTTTTTTCTATAGTGGTCTTTTAAGATTCTTCTAAGAAGATGATCTTTCAAAAGCATGAGGTTGCTAAAGGGACATAGAAATGAGATTAATTATGGAAGGTAAAGGGTCTGTGTTCAGTTTACTGTGAGATCACCTGTGTTATGAACAGTTGATGGGTAAAGTTGAAATACATGGGTGCCAGGCACTGTGTTTGGTGTTAGATGCTCAAAGACAATAAGATCATGACTCAGAATATAGTAAGTCTAAGGGACAGTGTTACCATGACTTGTCAGTGAACTTAGTGCAGCTTTTACAGGAAGGGGGTAGTGATCAAGGATTCCTCTAAGCCGCAACATTAATTCACTTAAGTATTTACGAATCACTTGTTCTCCTGGACTGGGCACTCAGAAGTCTTTGCTGTCAGAAGTGGGGCATATAACATGGGGAACACATTTACCCTCATTGTTAGAGATACATTTCTGTAATGAATCTGTACAGGATCTGTTAATTCCAGATGCTCTTGGTTTTACATGAAGTATTCCTCCAGCAAGGCTATTTATTTCTCATTGTGTGAAAAAGAAAACTAAGCTTTGTAAGAACTTTAGTGCCAAATGATAAATATGTCTCCTAAGGACCGTGTAACAATAGGGGAATTTATTTAATAAAAATTTTAGACTTTAAAAGCTTTTCTTCTGTCCCCTTTAGACCTTAGCTGGATCTCCAAAATACAAGTGAACCAGCCGGCAGTTCTGAGACGTGCACAGCAAATCCAGGCTCGTAGGACCGTGAAGAAGGAGTGGCAAGTAAGGTCCTTCTTGAGTATTTTCTGTTCCTATAATTTACAATGCATAGTCTCTTCCCTCAAGGCCACAATATTGAATTTTGCTCAAGATGCATCTAAACTGAAAAGATTGCAGCTGTCCATGACTTATTTTAATAATTCATATATGATGATGATGGGTTGGAGAAAGATAACACATTTATCCAAACAAGTTAAAAATCTTATCACTCTTGAGTGGCAAAGCCGCAAATGAATTTGAGGCATCTTTATTCATGAGTGAATTAAATGGCATATTTCCTCAACACATTTATTCAGTTTCTTAGATATACCTCCTTTGGTTGTCTTCTATTTTAATTTTAAAGCCATCACATTTAAACCTGGTATGTCCACTCTTGAGGCCCATAGGTGTCATGGTCCACCTCTTTGACCCTCATGGTTTCTATTACCTTACAATTAATTTTCATAAATTATTTTTCGGAATTCAAAAAATGATGTGACGTAGAGTACTTGTGGTCAGCATGTTCTTCATTGTCTCCCAATCCAAGTCGTGCTCTGCATCACAGGACTAAAGGGAATTTGGTGTTCATTTCACAAGTGAGGCAAAATATTGTGATTGAATCCTATAGGGTGCCATTTCACACTTCGCTCATCCTTGGAAATATTCTGATTGAAAAAGCTAAAAGGAAACTCATCAGAATGAGTTGTGAAATCTGAATATTGTTTTGAAGAGGAAATGGGATTAAATTTAAAAAAAAAAGGCAACAACGAAGTTAAGAAATTAAATGTCCCACCTCAGATCCCAGACCTGGAATGAAGATGTATGAGGGGATTCTCATGGGTGAGATGGAGAAGATTGATGAAGGGAGATTGTCCTGTTAGCAGTTTCCATTTGGAATATCTATGGGAGAGAGAAAGTTTTTTTTTTAATATATCCAAAAGGGCAGGTTTATTATCTTTTTTTTTTAAAAAAAGGGAAAGGTAAGGAAAGGACACTGGCACAGACACAAGGGCACAGAAAGCTGCCCCTGAACGGAGCAGGTTTGTGAAAAGAAACACCTGCATACTCACAGGGGGGCAGAAGAGCAGTTGAAAAAGAACATTTGAAGGCTGTTGTCCCCACATTTATTTTATCCTCCACAATATCCATCTGGTTGGTCACTCTTTTTTTTAAATTTATACATACAAGAGCTGGGGTACAGGCCAGAGATGTGGTGGGTGAGAGGATTCACTAGAGACAGAGTAGGGAGCAGAACAGGCATATCTACTGAAATACACTGCTGAGGGGAGCAGTGGGCGAGACAGAAGAGGTCTATTGTGCCATAAGGATCACTACCCTGGCTGGGGATCGAACTTGTGCTGCAGTGGCTATGGATAGCTTCACAGTGCTGCATCTTAATCCCTTGCGCCACCAGGGAGGCCCCTAGTTGGTCACTCTTAAGCAATGTTTATAACACATGTCAGAATGAGGTGCCTTAATGGAGAGATCAGATTTGGCTCCCATATGTGGCTAGTGAGTCTCAACAAACTGCGTGGGAGGTTAATTTTTAATCTTGTTCTTACTTTTCTTCAAACCAGGCTGCTTGGCTCCTGAAAGCTGTTACCTTTATAGATCTTACTACACTTTCGGGTGATGACACGTCTTCCAATGTTCAAAGGCTCTGTTATAAAGCCAAGTATCCAATCCGGGAAGACCTCTTAAAAGCTTTAAATATGCACGATAAAGGTAATGTTGTGTATAATCTGTCTGATAGTCATCTCTTTACAGTACTAATGACTCAATCTAAGAGAACTTAGGACAAGATTCTGCTTCTCACATGATAATTGTAATAAATTCCATGATAGAACGGTATGCATAGATAATCGAGATTCTTCTCTGAAAATCATCAGGGAGACAATGTGGGTTTCATTTTTTAGGTCAGTGCCTTCCATCATGGATTAAAGTTGCTGGCAGAGAGTTTATTTTTCTTTCTAGTTTTTCAGTTTTGGAAATTTTCTGTCTGGTGACTCTGAAATCCTGATTCTGAATCCCTAGCCACATGTGAAAAAGCTAGTCTCATTACTTAATAATCACATCTCATCCATAAAGTATTTTCTGTGAGTAAATGAAATACTGTTGAGAATAAAATGCAAATGGGAAATAGGGCATGCTTGTAATATTAGCTCTTTTGAAAAAAAAGTTATATTCACTCCGTTTGTAGACTTAAAAGGATTTTCAAAAGTTGCCATATGTTGAGAACCATTTTAGAAATGGAGACTTTTGAAGGTTTATCCCTTATTTTAAGTGAGGAAACTGAAACTGGAAGTCTAATGGGTATTTCCTAGACAACGACCTTGTTATTCTCCAGGCTGGTTTGGGGAGCCAGGTGTTTCCATGAAAGGTGCCTGAGAGCCCACCTGAATGGGCAACTAGTGACTCTGTATTTGCCTAATGCATGTATTTTATCCCATGTAATTTTGGGAGAACTTACTGATCTACCTACACAACTGAATGAAAAGTATTTGTGATACTTCTTCAGCTTTAACAGTAAAAACCTCCTTATTTGTAGCACTTAAGGTAACAACTTTGCACAAGCCTTATACCCTTGCTTGTTTTATAGTGGCTGTTTGATTTTTTTTTTTTAATGTAAGACCTTTCTCCTTACATATGAAGGATCCAGATCTAGACTGTGTTATTTCTTGCAAAAGAGGGAGGAGAGAAATGTCATTTTGCTGTAAAACTTACTGGTCCTTTTTTTTCAGCCACTTTCTTGTTTGAATGTTGTAGATTTCATATATATTTTCATGGAGTCAAGACCATCAAGTTTGCTATTAAGGACTTTCCCAGGAAGTTTTACAAAGTGGCATTTTGTTAACCTTCAAGTACAGTGATGAGAAAATGATGCATGTAGTCAAAAAAACTGCAAGGGAATTTGGAAATAAAAATCTTTTCATTTGCTGTAGCATCATGGGGGAATGGTTTTTCCTCTCATTTTGATTTCTGCCAATGTTGTAGTATAAATAATAACTAAAAGCATATTGTGTGAGTTGAACTTCACATACAGTGGGCTGTTAGGATTTCTTTCTTCTTAGGCATCACCACGGCTGCTGTTTGTGTTTATCCTGCACGGGTCTGCGATGCAGTGAAAGCACTAAAGGCTGCAGGCTGTAACATCCCAGTGGCATCAGGTAAGATTGGTAACTTTTGTTGTTGTTCTGCACATTTGCAGTTCTTCAGCTCCAACTCTATGGGGGTATTACAGTTTCATACACATCTGAGCAGTTTTATACATCTAACTGGTTGCATATGTTCATTCTTTTAGTATTTATTTATTGCCTACTAAATAATAATAAGTAGCAGACATTATATTAATTCCCAAGGATACAGAACTGTACCCTGTCCTTAAGGAAACTTGGTTGCTTAGCAGATAGTCAGTACAAAACAATCATTGTGCAGGATCAGTATTTTTATAAATGTAAACTGCAATAATACAGATAGACAGTGACAGTTGTTATTGAGCAGGGAGAGATTATTCTGCCATGGTTGATGACCTTCACGAGTAAGGGATTAATTCTTAGAGGAGATATGAATAGCACTGGGTCTTGAAGAAGGAGGAGTTGACAGTGTTGATGGGAAGGGGATGGCTCAGAATCATGGTCAGGGAACCGAAAGAGGTTTGCACTTACTGCATCCTCAGGTGGGACCAAGATGGAGGGTCAAGACTGAAGCTGAGAGGTAGATTGGGGCTGGGTCACATGGGGAAGCCTTGCCATGGTGTGACATTTGGTCTTTCTGCTGGTGACAGGGAGCTTACTGAAAGGTTTTATGCAGAGGCATGCTGTGGTCAGTTTCATGATGGAGTAATTTAGTTGATGAGAATGGATGAAGTAGAGAGGTTGAAATGCAGTTAGGATGACTTACCACAGTCTGTAGAGATCAATAGAGTTACCCAAAAGCCAGGAAGAAAGAGCAGGGGGGTATGTTCAAGGGCAACTGACATGAGATAGACTCTGTGGGACGTGATATGAGCGAAAGAAAAGTCTTAAAAGCTTCTAAGTGTGTGCAGATGGATGAATGAATAGACAATTAGATTCCACATTTGAAAGATGTTACAGGAGACTTAGTCCCAGACCTTGCAGATTTGTTCTCCTCTCCTTGGTCCAAGGCCTCTCCTGAAACCATGCTCCACCAGGTCCTCAGGCCAGGAAGCATCCGAGCTCTGTTCCCCTCTTTGTATTTATTGGAGCCAGAGGAACGGAGCAGCTCTATATGTCACATGCCTGGCATTATTCAATCCTGACATCATTGGGTCAGAAAGAATTACCCAGAACCTTGGATTGAACCACATCCCCATGATCAGTACAAGCTCTACTCAGTGAATGTTGATGACAGCAAACTGAAGAAAGAAGATGCAGGCTTCAAAATAAAATATTTTACTATATAGCTGCTTAAAATGAAGGTCTTCCAGAAGCCATCTGCACAACTTTCCACTTAACTAGGAAATTGTTCCCCTCTAAACACACCAAATCATGTAGGTGTTTTGTTTTGGGGGTTACACTGATAAATAAGTAGCTGGAACTTGGTGGGTCAGCGGGGAGATGTTAGAGGAATATCCTGGTACTGTGAAGAAAGAGCCCATAAAACTTGTTATTTTATTAGGGATACCTCAAAAGAAACAGTGTATGGTATTTATATACAACATTTTTGTGAAGATCCCCAAAGTATTTGGCAGCTACTCCTTTAGCACCCTTTACTTTTCATCAGTTTCAGTCAATTCAGCTTTTCCTTTCTACAGCCAAGAAATGTGCTTTCCTGGAAGGTAGCCAACCTGAGGATTTTAATAATATCAGGAAACCCAATAAATGGGAATGGAATTAATGACATGCATGTGAAAAATATTAATAGTTTTCAAAAGTGTGGTTGCGTTTTCATTTTCCTTTTACTTGGGGATGGGATGAGCCCTTCTTCGCTACTGTCTAGGAGATGAAGCTGCATCCTGTTCTTTCCTAATCTGCCCCTACCCCAATTTTCAGAATTAGGTGTTTTCCCTCTTGCAGTCTCTTCCCTTTATTCTCAGTTGCTTGACTGTTAAAGACAGGCAGCAGGAAGAGCCTGTATCACAACAGCTAAACATGTGAATGAGTAAAGCATGAATACAGAGATAACTAACTTAGCTAGTGTCCACCAAGACAGGGCTGCTACCATTTTATCACATCACTTTGGTAATATTTTCTTAATGACTCTCTACTAAAAGCACCCTCTTATTTTTATTTTCTCCTTGTATTTTTTTTAAAGCACCCTCTAGACGGCTCAGCAGTAATTTAGTTGTAAGTCTTCCAGAGGATAGAATAGTAATATTTATTCTAGCACCAATGCGATATTAGATAGTAGTCTATTTCTTCATAATTAACTTTTCAAGATATGCATGAAGTTCTTAGTGTAATTTCTGTTTAGTCTAAATGCTGATTTTTATTAGTCTGAAATTCTTTGTTGAGATACTGACCACTTGAAATTTATCTCTCCCCCTCCCTCCACTTCCCTCTGACTCTTTTTCCCTTCTCTATTCCTTTCTTTCTTTCTTTTTATTAGTGGCCACTGGCTTTCCAGCTGGACAGACTCATTTAAAAACACGATTAGAAGAGATCAGACTGGCTGTGGAAGATGGAGCTACAGAAATCGACGTGGTAATTAACAGGACCTTGGTGTTGACCGGCCAGTGGGAAGGTAAGTTCATGTCCTTCCCGCAAGGGAGACATAGTTATCTCCTGTGAATCATGGTGAGGACCCGGCACAAAGCAGTAGGTTGGGGAGGTCATAATTCTAGATGACGAGGCTCTAGATCAGAGGGTGAATCTAGGAAAGAAAACATGGTTAAGATGATCTGTCCTTGTGCCCCCCCCCCCATAAATCTAGGCAGTTCCCAACCAGCAGGAACTCTTTAGATCCCTTTGAGTGCTTAGGTAAATTGTTATTTCATACAGTGGATTAACATTTATTTTGATCCCCACCATTTTATTACTTAATATATACATTACTACAGTCAGGTCCCTTATGCAAAGTTTATTTTAATAAGCTATTATTTCTTCTTCTTTTTTTTTTTTAATAGAGGCATGTTTTCTTTCTTTCTTTATTTGTTTGTTTGTTTGTTCTGTCCATACATGCACTGGGTACAGTCAGAAGCGCGGGAGGGTGAGAGAATTCACCAGTGCCAGAGCGGGGAGCAGAACAGGCAGAAGGACCGAAGTACACTGCTGAGGGGAGCAGCGGGCGGCAGGAGAGGTCTGCGCGCCATGCAGGACCCTCCTCCGGTGGCCGGGAAGCAGCCGGGGATCGAACCGGCGCCGCAGAGGCCACGGGCAGCTTCGCAACCCAGCGCTCAACCGCTGCGCCACTGGGGAGGCCCAATAAGCTATTATTTCTAATTAGATACTAAAGAAAAATATTTTACCTCTGCATAAAATATATTTTATATACAGACATGGCTGATAGCTAACTTAAATACAATCTGTACTGCAAAAAAATTATTACAATTAGTTTAGAATTTTTTTAAATGAAAGTGTAAGATAAAGATAGACTAACATATTATGTCTTTAGAATATATGAATATCAGGTATGGTCTATTTTATACTAACTATGGAAGTTATACCTGTTCATTATTAAAAACAAAAATTCTAACCAGTGATAAAAGAAGTAGATGTGCCACATAATCACATTGCCTAGAAAGAACCCCTGATAACACTGCAATGCACAACTTCCAGACTTTTTTCTCTTCATTTTTGCACATATGCAATTCCCACCTTTTTAATAGTTTAAATAAAAAATAGAATTATAGTTAGTGTTTTTTTCCATGACATATTTATTGGGCTTGCCAATATCTCATGAATATCTTTCTATGACTTCCTAACAATCCATCATTCCATTAATCTTCTCACCTTTAAGTCCTAATTCCATTGTATTAAGAATTGCTTTTGGTTATGTCACAAAGATTCCTTCAGTGGTTTAAATACCAGGAATTTATTCTCTTATATAAAGTCAGATAGGTATTTAAGGAGTCTAGTGGGAGCCCTGCCAAATCCTTGGAGACCTCAGATACCTTTACCTTTTACTGCCAAAGCCTGTGCCTTCTACACTCACACTCAAGGTGACTCCATTGTCTATGATGCTTCTGAAGTCCCGGCTTCATCTCATAGACTGCTGCGAAGAAGGGCTTGTCCCATCCCCAAGTCTCATACAACACTCTTGGCCTGAATTGAATTGCACGGCTATGCTTGGCTGCAAGTGAAACTGGGAAATGGAGTCATTTAGCTTGGAATATTAGCTACTTTCCTGTACATTCTTAAGTTAGGTGTGTACATTTCTGTAACATGATGGAAAGCAGTGAGGGAAGTACTGGCATGGCAGGGAAGCATGTGATAATAAAAAGTTTAACAGCAAGAACCAAGCAAAACCAACAATAACAAAATGTTTAAATAAAAAGATACATGAAGTCAAAAAACCCAGCCATCCGGACTGTTAGCTAAGGGGCAAGTCAATAGATTCCGGTAGCCCCTGAGAGCATCATGCATTCCAGGACAACATGATTACGGATACAGCAGTTCCAAATGACCTAGAAATAAAATTTAAGTCCATTTCCCTTGCTTTACATTCCCAGCTGTACTTATCAACGTTTTTAATATTTGCCAGATGAAAATTCTTAGCAACTCACAAATACCTTTTTGAGCTTTTGGTTTTTGTTTCTTATGGTTCATGGGTACTCTGGACAATTGCAGTCATAATTATTTTTTAAGCAGTCTTTCTTAAATTTATAGATGTCCCTTGTCCCTATATATTGAATCTGTTCGTCTGCTTCTAAACTCAGATTTTAGTTTAAAATTTGACTAAAATAAGAGGAAAAAAATGAATAAGTATATCATTTTAAACAAATCTAAAAAAATAAACTTCATGTGATTTGGTTGGATAAGAAAGTATATGTTCTTTATGTCTTTTATTTAGAAGTTGTAGACATATAGGTATAGTTTATGTTATTATAACTTGTGCTCTTGTCTCTAGGATCCTACTAATTGGAAAATAAAATACAATAGGAGAAAAGTTTTGATGTAATTGGCTATCTGTTAATGAACTAGGAATGGTTGTTTTTAAGAACTGATAATTTCCCAATGACAGGCATTCTTGCAAAATATAATAACACATCTTTGTCCTAGACCATACTTTTCTATTAACTCTTTTTTTATGGTGTTAATAACCTCTTGACCCAAAACAAATTGAAAAGGAACATTTAATACTAGAAATTTAATTCTAAATAGAAACTCGCAATGACTTAGGCCTTTTTTCACTGCAGTATTTTGTCTTAACTTTGGCTCTCAATTTGATTACATATTGTATTTCTCGGTGTCATGTTTTAATATTAGCTGTTTATTAAAATATGAGCCTAAAATTGATTTCTTGAAATTTGCTGATGGAAATGTCCGTCTGGATATTATACTTTCAAATCCAGGTCCCTCTCCCCTGTGACTGAGGTATGTGGGACTCTGGCTAAAGAACAAAAGAAGGACCCCCATTTTTAAACCTGACCATTCAGAGCAAATCCCAGCCATTCCTTTCCTTTTTTTTTTTTTTAAGATTTATTTATTTATTTATACAAGCACTGGGTACAGTCAGAAGCACAGGAGGGTGAGAGAATTCACCAGAGCCAGAGAGGGAGGCAGAGCAGGCAGAAACACCAAAGTACAATGCTGAGGGGAGCAGTGGGCACAGCAGGAGAGGTCTGCGCGCCATGTGGGACACTCGCCCGCCCACGGCCGTGGATGGAACCAGTGCTGCAGAGGCTGCGGGCAGCTTTGCAGCCCAGTGTTCAACTGCTGCGCCACCAGGGGAGGCCCCTCCCAGCCATTTCTTATAGTTGCAAGTGTGTGTAATTTAGCATATAAAATCAAAGAGACAACAGGAGAGAGACTGCTCTCCCTCTTCTTGGTTTCTCTTTGTGACAATTTAAACTCTCTACTCTCTTCAGACTTCTAACTCTTTATCCATCTGGAAGCTGCTTCATTCTTAGCAGAAGACTTAGCTGCTGCTCCTCAGAGAAGACAGAATCTAGTCAACAGGAACTTACTCCGGCCCTTGCATCAGATTTTCTTTCCTCCCTCCTCTTTTCCATGCTCCCCCATGCTGTGGCTCATCGCCCATATTTTCTGAGGCCTTACTCCATTTTTGCTGTCCATTTTTCCCTCTTGTGTCTTTTGTGTTTCTCTGCTAGCTCATTCTCATCAGTGTCTAAACATACTTAAACTTTTCTTATCCCTTAAAAAAAAAAGCCCACGTTCCAACAGTTCCCCTTTCCAGCTAAGTGTCCCTGGCTAGCCCCCCTTCATTTTGTACTTGCTTCTCTTGAATCTGTTCTAACCAAGATACCAATGACCTCTGATTCTGCTGTGCCAAGGGAGACTTCTGTTGTTTAGTTGTGCCATTCAGCAACATCTGACACAATGGATGGCTCCCTCCTTCTAGAAACTGTTGTGATGACTTTGGAGATCCTCCTTTTTAAGATCCTCCCTCATGTTTCTGGCTGGTCCCTCATCTTGCTTGCAGCTCCTCTCTCTCCTCTGTCATCCCTGAAGTGTTGATAGTCCTCAGACCTTGTCTCAGTGAACTCTCAGGCTCTGCATCCCCTTTGGCAACCTCATCACCTGGAGGTGCTGTCTGTGTGCCCCATGTTGAGGACACCATACCTCCTGGGTGCCAGCTCCTGGTTGGCCTGATTCCAGAAGGCTTGCTCCATTTCCTCACGAAACCGTGTAGCTTTTCCTTCTTCATAATATATAACTGGACATTCAGTATCAGTGAATCTTGGCCAAACCAGAGAATACAGCCTTTTTAGAAAGACATCCATTACAAATTATTTCTCTGATTTTATGAACACTTTCTTTTAAGTACAATTAGCTTTTTTCTAGGTCATTCAGACTTTATGAGCACTTTCTACTAAATACAAGTTAACTCCTTTTCTAGATCATTCATCACTATTGTATCAGTGATTATATTATCCTGAAATACATGATGCTGTTGGGGGCTACTGAAATCTCTGACATGACTTGCTCATTAATTAAAGGTCCAGTAGTCTGTGCTTTTTTACTTTACTGTCTTTTTATTTAAACATGTTTTCTCTTGTTGTTTTATCTGGTTCTTTGCTCTTCAGTTTTCACTGTCATATTTTGTGTAGCTTGTTAAGGCTCATGGCTCTTCCCTCAGGTAACTTGCTCACTCCTGTCTACCAGGCTTCAACAAGGTATACACCCAGGTTGCCTTAAGGACAGTGAGTTTAACTAATAAGCAGTGGAATGTATTGCAGCTTTACCTACTACATATTTTCAGGTTACTTACTCTAGTTCCTCTCCTCACAGAATCTAGCACACCCCCTTGGTTTTGTGTGAAATCAGAATTGGGGGTTAGAGTCAAGGGAACAATAGACTCCTATAAGTGACTGTCATTCTTGGTCATTTTGATTCCAGTCCCCTACCCCCCAGCCCCCATAATCCTTATGTATTGATAGTTCTAAGGAAAAGAGCTAACTGGAGCATTTTTAAAAAATTACTTCCACTTCTTTGTTCTACATAGTTTAGGTGCCAGATAATTGAAGCATTGTTGAATTTACATGTTGATTAATACAAAACACATTTCCCATGTGTTTCTATTTATGTGGCCTGGATTTGCAATTAGTTGTAATTAAATGT